CAAAAAAAGCAAATATTTTTCATTTTTCTGAAATTACGGAAATCCACGTAAGTGCGAAGTACACGCCGCCGTTTTGTAACTAGTTTTATAACGCGGCTTAACACATACAAACTCAAACACGTAATTGATATTATTCCTAATTCCATAAAACTCCAATAAGAAACATTGCTGTCGCTTATTCTGAAATACTGTCGAACTTAAACAATATATTATAGCCGTATTTTTGACTATTGGCCCGAAACTTTCTCTTACATTGAACCTTTATGGCTTCTGTGACATGCCCCCGAGAAATGTCACGGTTTCAAAACTACATCTTCAATCAATACATAGTATAAAACAAAGTCGCTTTCGCTGTATGTCCGTATGTATGCTTAGATCTTTAAAACTACGCAACGGATTTTGATGCGGTTTTTTTTAATAGATAGAGTGATTCTTAAGGAAGGTTTGTATGTATAATACATGCATATTGCACCCGTGCAAAGTCGGGGCGGGTCGCTAGTGTATAATAATATGTACTCATACTGACAGATTGCACAGAATATATATTTATTTGTGTGTAAATCATACCTGTGTAAGTCCAATTGGCTGACTCAACATCGAATTTTTCTTTCATTTTCTTATATTTCGATTTTTTCTTTTCAATTGTTGTTGTTATTAACGAACTAACTATTAAAACTATTATAAAAACCTTCATTTTAATCGAGTATTAAATTAAAATTATTGACACATTTTATTCATATAAGAAATCGAGAGCACTGTCATAATATTAGATAGATATTATTTTTTAAATATGGCACTAATTTATTAATTTAAAATTATTATTTAAATAATAATTCACCCACATATTCCACTCCAGAAGTTAATCAATAAAGAAACTAACTTCAAATAAAATTATTTATGTCAGTTATTAATTGTTAACATTACACCACAACGATTCATTACAAAATCGCAATCCACAATTTTTATAACCGAACAAATAAAATAAACTGACCCACTTAAAATAAACGTAACAAAAAATAAATAAACAAAAACAATATTTGAAATAATAATTTTATCACATAATTTACGTCACATTTAATATTACGCCAATTTTAAATTAAAACGGAAAATACCACACGTGTTTGAGTAAATAACGATATTTACCGACTAAAGTTTGTATTGTTCTTTACATAACTACAGTACATAACGTATTAGAGAATTTCCTCAAAGGAAATGCATTTACCGGTTTTGTCTAGTACATAAAGGAACTACATGCATTCATGAATATAAGTAATATAAAAAGTGATGCATACTATACAAACACACCAAACTATACAGAACCAATTTATCATGGTCCCGCCTTGTATCATCTTCCCACAGAAACACAAACGGTCAGCTTATACTGGTTATTATAACCAGTTCATCATGCTCTTACTTCGTATAATCTTCCCGTATATTCAGCGGTCATTTTATACTGGTTTCGCACAGCTTAATGTAGCCATATAGCACATGCATTTTAAAATTCATGTTGTATGTTTTAACGAGTAGGTATATTGCGTGCTCTTTCTATGTATTGGTTATTAATGTGTGCGTAATTTAGTGTAACTATTCTTTTAAATATTATAGATCACAGTTTTGTATATATTTAAATAGTCTTAACTAATTTTTAAGTTCTAAGTATACATTCCGAATTAGGAATAATTTATTTTTATTTATGCACAACACAGAAACAGTACACAGGAGAACGCATATATAAATAATTTGGAGGTACATAGGTACTACATATTCCCGTAGGAATCTCTTCCTGCAGTCCTTCGACAGGAAAAACAGTAAAAACTAAGACCCTGTGCGTAACATGACATGAACAAAGAAAAAGAACAAAAATTACCAAAATTTAAGCAAATAGGTAAATAATGTATTAAATAAATAGATCTCAACAACATTCATATGATAGATAGACATCAAATAATACACATATGAGAGTATATTACAAATAAACATATTATACCTACACATATATATGACACTAATTTGCACAAGATGAGGAAAGGTAATGCTCCCTTACGAGTCTTTTAAAGATTGGAATGGATTATAATGATTAATGCATCCTATGAAATTTCCCTCTAATATTTATAGAGTTATTTTTTGTTATAGAGCTTTCTAAGATTTTTTAGACACTACTGACTGACATATGGTGAAGGAAAACATCGCGAGATAACCCGAGGATAGTTTGAATTCGCACACCCGCATTGAGCAAGCGTGGCGATTAATGCTCAAACCTCCGGGCGAGTAGAGGTCTTTGATCAACAAAGCCCAATGTTCAGTGTAGTGCCCAAACAGTGATCTTTGATTTTGATCAATATTTTTTCTCGCTCATTTGTAATTGTCTCCCTCCCTCATCAAACATCAGTCCATTTTTAAA